CCCCGGGCGGCCGGCCCCCGCCTCCATCCCAGCTGCAAACAGTCCTCCCAGCAGCCGGAGATCGGTCCGGGTCCGGGCCCGGCCGCCGCCCCTGCTCAGGGGACTGGAAGAGCCCCATTTGGCGCCCAGAGCCCAGAGCGCCGCTGCGTGCCCACCTGAAGGCGCCCCGGTCCACCGGCCGGCTGAGGGCATCGCCGATCCTCCGCTGTCACCGACCCTGGGTCGTTGCCTGGGGGGGGGGGGGGGGGGGGCGGGGGGGGGAGGAGGACGTGTCAGATTTAGGCCAGGAAGCGGAAGTCATCCGCTGCGGGTGAACCACGCTGGGCGGGGAGCTGAAGTGATGGAGGGCCAGACACCTGGTATCTGTGCCAGGAGTACCTGGGGGGCCGGTGACGCCTGTCCTGGAGCATGTCATCCCATGTTTAAAAACCGGTTAATCGACCTTTCTGCTTTCCTTATATAAACATTAAGGCTAAAGTTCTACTCCTAAAGATCCAAGTTTTGATTCCTTTTCGTTAGTGTTCAATTTCAAGTGCTCATTTATAACTTTCTTCTCCTTTTCACCCATGCATTATGTAGAAGTCCACTGTCGGACCTGCAAAAAATGCTTTGAGCCCTGGCCGGTTAGCTCAATGGTTAGAGCGTTGCCACCACGGAAGGGTCGTGGGTTGGATTCTGGTTGCAGGTTCCATCCCTGGGCCCCGTCAGGGCGCCAGCGTGAGGCAACCCATCGATGTGTCTCTCTCACATCCACCTCTCTCTCTCTCTCTCTCTCTCTCTCTCTCTCTCTCTCGCCCTTCCACTCTCTCTAAAAATCAGTGAAAAGAATATATCCTTCGGTGAGGATTAACAACAACAACAAAATGCTTTGAGACCCAAAGGGCAAGGGAATGGGTACTTTATTCAGCGGGTGCGGCAGAGAGAACAGCCCAGAGCAGTGTCCCCTGGAGCGTGGGGACTTTTCTCTGCCAGAGGAGTTTTGTAGGGGAAGGAAACCAAAGCACCAAGTGCACGTTCAGTGGGCTTTGACCCGCAGGTGTCCAAATGCAGCCGGAAGGAGCAGTTTACGATTTGGGCCACCCCAGTCCGCAGCATCCTGTTTTCAGAATTAATGACTCAAAGAAAGGATTCAGAGGGAGTGCAGAATATTTTACAGTTCCTCACACCACCTTCCGTTTCCCCAAACACAAAGTGAATTAATTGGCTGTTCGTGACTGCTGTCCTCATTGCGCTGCAGTTTGAAGATGTTGTCTGAATGATGTTATCTTTGAAATTTCTTGAAACTTGCCTTAAGGCTTAAGTACAGAGACATGGTTACATGGGACAGACTGTCAATTGTCAGAGGGCTGTGGGGAGGGAGGGCCTGGATGAAAGAAGGTGAATGAGTTAGTCAAAGAACATATATGCGTAAACCATAAGCACAGACAACAGTGTGGTGATGGCAAAAGGGAAGGGGGGACCGGGGCTGGGTGGAAGTGGGCAAAGAGAGTGAAATGGGGACATCCGTAATAGTGTCAACAATAAAAATGAGGTAAGAAAAAAAAAAGCATGGGCCCAATTTTCAAAAATGTGTCATCTCTGGATTGAAAAGACTGTGTACCCATGGACACAGATAATAATGTGGTGAAGCCCTAGGGGGGTGGGGGCAGGGTGGAGGGAGGCAAATGGGGGATGATGGGGGGAAATAGAGTCAACAATAAAAATATTTTAAAAAGAAAAGACTGAATTTTCCAGTTGTGTTGAGCATCTGTGTTTATTGGTTCACAAGCTTGTTTGGAGCCCTTTAAAATGTGTATCTCCTTCCTGATTATTTTCTTCTGCTTTCCCCAGGACCTACTGAGTGAAGAGAAAGATTCTCCTACTGCAGTGGTCAGCAAACCACAGCTCGCGAGCCACATGCGGCTCTTTGGCCCCTTGAGTGTGGCTCTTCCACAAAATACCACGTGCGGGCGCGCATGTACAGTGCGATTGAAACTTCGTGGCCCATGCGCAGAAGTCGGTTTTCGGAAAGGAGATGGACGAAACAAGTACACAAGATGAGTGTGGATGGGAGAGTTGGAAGGGGGCGACCTCAGCGAACGTACCTCAATCAGACTGAGGACGTTTTTAGCAAAGGCCAGCTTAGGAGGACCCTCATTAAGTTAATCACAATGTACCTACCTATCTAGTTTAAGTTTTAAAAATTTGGCTCTCCAAAGAAATTTCAATCGTTGTCCTGTTGAGATTTGGCTCTGTTGGCTAATGAGTTTGCAGACCACTGGCCTAGTGTATTGTTGATAAGTCAGGTTTTCACAGCACCAACCAATTTGTGCTTCCTATATTTTGGAACTTTTACTATTAAATGTAGGTCAGGCTATTTTGTTGTTGAATTGATACAGCCAAATCACTTCCCCAAAAGACCGTAACATTTCCTGCTCTCACCAGCAAAATATGGATTCATGGAGGCAAATCTCCAGCAGTGGCTGTCCATGCTCTCTTTAACCTTTGCCAGTCTAAGGGCTAGTAGCATCAAACTGCCTTAATTTGCATTTCCCTAACTACTTGTGCAACTGAGGGTGTTTTTCTGTTGGTCGACCATTTCGATTTTGACTTCTGCCAGTCTTCAAATCCTTTGTCCAATTTTCTTTGGAGTGATTTGTCTTTTTCTTATCAATTTGTAGACTCTCTTTGTACATCAGGGTTATTAACCCTTTCCTGCTTTGCAATAGTTCCCCCCTAGCTCTTTTTGTTCTTTGCGTCTAAGCTTTCTCTTCTGGCTTCTGTATCTCCTGTCTTGCATGGTGTTCCTTCCCCATTCCAGGTCGTCCTAAAAAGGTAATCTTTTTTTAAGGATGAATGCAATAAAAGTTCATTTTAATAAATATCACGTAGTTTACCTGTGGCCCATTAAGTGCATTTTATTTTATTTGTGTATGTGTACATCTCACTTTATTATTTTTAAAAATTAATTTTTTTCAATTACAGCTTCCATTCAGTATTATTTTATATTAGTTTCAAGTGTATGGCATAGTGATTAGGCAATCATATACTTTACAAAGTGGTCCCCTGATATTTCCAGTCCCCACCAAGCCCCATCCATAGTTATTAAAATATTATTGACTACATTCCCTCTGCTGTACTTTACATCTCTATAACTATTTTGTAACTACCAATCTGTACTTCTCAACCCCTTCACCCTAAAAACAGTCTTAACATTTATTTCTATTTTATTGTCTTCATTTTTTTGCTGGAACTTTTAATTTACTTGGAATTTACTCTGGTATGTGGCGTGAGGTCAAGGTCAAGCTCTGTTTTTGTTGTGTCAAATAAAAAGAAATCCGGATGTAGATATGAAGAGACTAATTAGAAAGGAAGACTGTTGCAATAGGGAGAAAGCTCCCATCTCAGAAATCTGCAAGCATCTCATAACCAAACAGGAAAAGGGCCTTTCTTCGATTGCCAAGATAAGGAGAAGGCAAGCTGAGATAAGCAGAATCTGTGGAGAGGCTGCACAAGCAGGGGAATGACCAGTGGGTTCTGACAGGTCAGCTCACTCTTAGGAAAAGCTGAGAAGGGGGGCTCCTTTTACATTTTTTTGTGCTTGCTCAGGCTTGGGGGAAAGCAGAGCTGAGGAGCCTGTAGGAAAGAGACAAACCTGACTGAAGTTAAGCAAACAAGCATTTTGTCCCAATTAATCAGTGTTTGTGAGGCAAATAATTGGAATTTGGAGGGTCTGTATCCAAACTTGTTGTAGGTAAGCAAGAGGGACATCTGTGGGTCCTATCTAAGTCATATACAGAAGTGAGATTCTTTGCAGTAAGCCATTTTCTGGAACACAAAAAGCAAGGAGATTTTGTAATGGTTGCAGGAGTTAGGTCAAGTTCATTATCAGCCAAGACCCTTTATGGAACACATTGCCTTGCATTCACTGAATTAAATACCATTTCTGTAATATAAGGTCACAAATATGTTTCATTTCATCTGAACTCTATTGTGTCTCTGTAATCTGAATTTTTGTTCTTGAAAATGTATCTTTCCAGGAACTCTGAAGTTTAAAATTATTTTATCAAGTTTCAAAATGAATGGCCCTCCACCCCCCAACAAAAGTATTGCAATTTTGACTTGAATTGTATTGTCTATATATATAAAAGCCTAAGTGACCAAATGACTGAACGACTGGTCACTATGACGCACACTGACCACCACGCAGGAGCTGTCCCCTGGTGGTCAGTGAGCTCCCACAGGGGGAGCGCCACTCAATCAGAAGCCCTGAGCTGGGCTCATGGCTGGAGAGCACAGTGGCAGTGGCGGGAGCCTCTCCCGCTTTTGTGGCAACACTAAGGATGTCTGATTGCTGGCTTAGACCCGCTCCCCATCCCCCAAGTGCTCCCGGACTGCAAGAGGGAGCAAGCCTGGCTGAGGGACCGCCCCCCCCCCCCGAGTGCACAAATTTTGTGCACCGGGCCTCTAGTATTTTATAGTCTTCTTATAAAATGTATCCTTAGATATTTATAAATTTTTGTTGTCATTGTTAAAACATATTTGCTAATCCTATCTGCTTACTTAAAATGAAAGTACCCATTTTTATAAATATACTAGAGGCCCAGTGCACGAAATTCGTGCATGGGTAGGATCCCTAGGCCTGGCCAACAATTAGGGCCGATCAGGGCCTTCCAGCTGCTGGCCCAGGCCTTTCTTCATTCCACGCTGCCCCCTGGTGGTCAGCACACATCACAGCAAGTGATTGAACTCCGGGTCTTCCGGTCGAACTCCCAAGGGGACACTTTGCACATTAGCCTTTTATATATACATATATATTTTGTATATAGCTTCTTATCAAAACTACCTACCAATTCTGGTAGCTTCTTAGTATAGTCTCTCAGATTTTCTAATTGTACAATATCATTTATAGATAATATTGTCTCTTTTATCCAATATTTGATGTGATTATTTCTCCTTCTATTTTTGTTGTCCTTCTATTAATTATCCCTTACAGGAGTTACTAAGTTTAGGTGGCTTTTTTACACTAAGTCTACATAACAGCTTGTCTGATAGAGGAGAGAGCACTGGAATAGGTTTGACTTTCTTGCTATAGCAAGTTCAAGTTATGTCTGACAGTTTTGGTAAAAAGAAAAGAGATTTATTCCTTATTAGTATTGCTTGCAGTTATGTGTTTATTTAAATTTAAAATTATTTAAACTAAAAAAGTTTTAAATTCAGTTTCTTAGTCACCTAGCCACATTTCAAGTGCCCAATAGCCGTGTATGGCTACTGGTGTAATAATTGTGAATTGTTACCCATCGCACTATTCTTTTTGACATGGTTTCTGTAAATGCTGACTCTGACTAATATGTAGCTTGTAGATAAACAACGTATTTGTATAAGAATCCTAGGAACTTACTTCAGAAACTGCAGACACTGACCTTTAGCCTAGGAGATTTGCTGACTTTCAACCATAAAACCAGGATGACAAACACCAGACCATCACTTGACCAGTTTTGAGACCCTTATCAGAATGGATTGTGCTGGCCTGCACATAGAGAACTTTTAAGTCCCCTCCCCTTGATTTCTTTGTTCTGCTTTCCCTCTCCCTCCTTATAAAATCCTCTGCCTGCACTAAGGTGGGGAGATGGACTTTGGACAAGAATCCCCCATCTTCCCAAGATTCCAGCACTCGAATAAATCTCTTTCCTTTTTACCAGCATCTGTCTCACGAGTTAGGCTTTCATGAGGTCAGGCAGCCAAACCTTGGTTTCAGTTATGGTGGGTACTGTATCGGACAGCATTAAATAGAAAACATTTTCATCATTATGGAAAGTTGTATTGGACAATGCTGAGATAGAACCTTTAAAATAATGTTGGCTAATAGATATTATAGAGAGCATCCCTATCTTTTTGCCAATTTTAATGGAAATGATTTAAACATTTTACCAATTAGTGTAAAGCTTTCTGAAAATTTTTGGAATGTGGTTTTCTAAATTTTAAGTAGTTTCCTTTGATTGTTAAGTTGGGTTTTTATTATTAATATAAATGGCTACTGAATTGTATTATATACTTTTTAATATTAATTAATAGCATTATGTGACTTTTCTCTTTTTTAAATGTTTTCATTGATTTTAGAGAGAGAGGAAGGAAGAGGGAGAGAGAGAAACATCAATCAGTTGCCTACCGTATACATCCTGACTGGGGATTGAACTACAACCTGGGCATGTGCCCTGACAGGGAATTGAACCATGACCTTTCAGTGCATGGGACTACACTCAGTCAGCTGAGCCACACGGGCCAGGGTTATGTGGCTTTTCTCAAGTGTTGGTGTAATGAATTATGTTTCTTAATTTCCAGCTGGTTAAGATATTTTGGTACTATTTCAATTTATTTCTGTTTTTATTGATTCTTATCAGAGAATGTGATCCTTCAAAGCCCTACATTTTTTCTCTCTCCTGAAAATTTTATTGGTCCTGAGGAAAGGGAAGAAGGCAGCCCTGCCTCCTACTGAGGGTGCCACAAGCACTCACTGTTTCCCATTGCCATTGTTGGGGAGTTTCACATGTTAGGGGGCAGGAAGGGAGGCCAGAAAGCCCTTGGGCTTGGGTCAGAGGTATGCCCCGCAGGCCCAGGCAGAGAGCAGGGGGAAGGACTCCAGGCAGCAGGGGGGCAGGACCTGGCTGCCCACCATGAAAGCCTGGCCCCCCTGGTTCTGGGACAACAGGATCTCAAAAGGCTTTAGGTGCCCTGGCGTTTCCTTCACTTAGTTCTCCTTGCCTGCTTTGTAGTTGGTATAAATGAGGGTGATGTATTTACAGTGGAGGTCCTCTACACCATCATTCACCAGGTCTACCAGGGCTGCCTTCCACTGGTCCTTCCAGGACAGCCCAAGGGAGCGATTCGGTGGTCACAAGATGGCATTGGACTGGTCCAGGGTGAGGTCTCCATCCTGGAACTTGGGGAGCCCATACAGGCAGGAGGCCTTGAGTGAGCCCAGCAGCCAGGTCTCCTTGGTCATCACCTCCTCCTTCCAGTTCTGGCCCTGGTGAGCCCGCAGCATGTCATGGCCTTATAGCGCACTTAACCAGGGAATGTTTTTTAAGGATATAGGAGTAGAGAGTATATTGTCTGCTTGTAAGATATAAAGTTCTTTTTATGTCTATTTAATGTTGTTTATTGATTATAATTTTCATATATTTTTACCTTTGTTTTTGTTAACTTAATCCATCATATTCTGAAAGAGGTTTAATCTCAGACTATGAATTATGATTTTAAGGTTTTGTTACATTTCTATTATTACATAATGTCTTTTATTTATCTGTTGAATGCTTTTGACCTTGGATTTTAACTTGATAATTACACCATCAGACCTGCTTTTGTTCTGCTTGCATTTATCTGCTGAATCCTTACATAGGGTTCAATTTTGCCTCTTTATTTTAAACTAGAGGCCGGGTGCATGAATTTGTGCATGGGTGGGGTCCCTCTGGGTGGCCTGTGGGGATCAGGACAAAAACCACAGTCCGACACCACCTGCAGCTCCTACCTGCTGCTCCCGCTCATCTTGGCTCCACTGTGCCTGCCGCTGGCTCATGCCCAATCAGTCTTGCCAGCCGTGAGCCCTGCGTCTGGCACCCTCCCAAGGGAAGTGGCCTGTGAGATCGGGCTGAAACCAGCTCTCCGACATCCCCCTAGGGGTCCCGGATTTCGAGAGGGTGCAGGCCAGGCCGAAGGACCCCACCAGTGCACAATCAGAGCTGGGGAGGGGACCATAGGAGGGCTCCAGGGCATGTCGGGCCCCACTCGTTCAGCCCTGATTGGACCCCAGCGGCAAGCTAACCTACAGGTCAGAGCATCTGCCCCCTGGTGGTCAGTGTACATCATGGCGACTGGTCAACGGTTTGACTGTCTGCCCCCTGGTGGTTAGTGCACATCATAGCAAGCGGTTGAGCAGCCTTAGCATAGTACGCTTAAAAACACACTGCTTTTTAAAAAAATATGTTTTTATTGATTTTAGAGCACAGGTTCTCAACCTGTGGGTCGTGATCCCTTTGGGGATTAAACGACCCTTTCACAGGGGTTGCCTAAGACCATCGGAAAACACATATATATTTACATATTGTTTTTGTGATGAATCACTATGCTTTAATGATGTTCAATTTGTAACAATGAAATTGGGGGTCACCACAACATGAGGAACTGTATTAAAGGGTCGCGGCATCAGGAAGGTTGAGAACCACTGTTTTAGAGAGAGAGGAGGGGAGAGGGAGAGGGAGAAATATTGATGAGAGGGAGAAACACCCATAGGCTGCCTCCTGCAGGCCCCTTACTGGGGATCGAGCCCACAACCCTGACATGTGCCTTAACCAGGGATCCAGGGATTGATGTTCAACCAACTGAGCCACACCAGCCAGGGCCATACAGCTTTTGTTTTTAACACAATTTTACAGTCTGTTACAGGAGAATCACTCCATTTTATTTGTTAATGATATGCTTGGTTTTGTGGCTTCCATCAAGAACTATTTCCCTTTTTCTACTTTGTTTTTTACTCCTTTTCAATGTCCTCATGTTTGTTGTTTCTGTTTATTGTCCCTCTATTAGTAATTTGTCAGTTCGACTCTGCTTATCAATTCGACTGGCGGTTAGCCTTCCATTACTCATAAACATTATTCAAATTATTTCAATTGGTAGATTAAACACACATACACATACACAAATGCGTTATTTGCATTTCTCCTAATTTCTCAGGAGAATGAACCATTTAGGATGTTTTTACTTCCTCATTCTGCCCTCACCCAAAACTTCTGTTCTTTTCTGGGCAAATTTTTAAAATTAGAAGGAATGCTGGGAACATGGTAACAGAGGAGCAGGTTTTTTTGTTTTGATTTGTTTTGTTAATTCTCTTGATTGGTCGCCTCCCTGGGTACCAGGGCCAGGGATGGAACCTGCGACTCTTGGGTGTATGGGCCAATGCTCTAACCACTTGGCAACACTGATCAGAGCATTGGAGCATTTTTTAAATCTCTTTTCATGCCAACATGCAAATAGACAGAGCAACCAGATAGCAAAATCAAAACCCATGGACAACATTCATAATGAAACTAGAGGACATAGTATACCAGTATGGTAGATTTTCTGTAGATATGGCTACAAAGAATATTTTCATTCCCATATGTGCTTGCTACTTCTCCCATCAAGATGTGGAATATATTTTTTTCACTCTTTGTGTCTGGGCTGGTTTTAAGCTCTGTTTTGCCAATAAAATGTTATTCTGGGACTTCTATGCCCAGGCCTTAAGAGGTCTTGAACTCCTGCTTTATTGAGAGGAAAACTTAGACACCTCATAGTAAAGTCCATGCTATCCTGCAGAAAGAGGCCCTGGAGGATGAGGCACCATTTTTTTTTATTTATTTTTCTTTTCTTTTCATTGTTTTAGAGTAATTAATTTAGTTTTTAAATTTATCTTTATTTTTTTAAGTATTACAGATCCCCCCCCCTATTGGTCCCCTCCTCCCCACTCCTGCCTCCTCCCCAGGCCTTCACTATACTATTATCTGTGTCCATGGGTCATGCTTATATGTACTAGTATATAAATACTTTGTTTCATCCCCCCTTTCCCTCTGAGATTCCTCTGTCTGTTGGATGCTTCCATGTCTCTGGATTTATTTTTTTTCATCAGTTTATTTTGTTCATTAGATTCCACATATAAGTGAGATCATATGATATATGTCTCTCTCTGACTGGCTTATTTCGCTTAGCATAATAATCTCCAGGTCCCTCCATGCTTTTTCAAAGGATAATTGATCCTTCTTTTTTACAGCTGCATAGTACTCCATTTTGTAAATGTGCCACAGATTCTTTATCCACTCATCTACTGATGGGCACTTGAGCTGTTTCCAGATCTTAGCTATTGTAAATAAAGCTGCTATGAACATAGGGGTGTATACATTCATTCTGATTCTTAGGATATATTCCTAGAAGTGGGATCACTGGGTCAAATGGCCATTCCATTTTTAATTTTTTTTTGAGGAAACTCTACAGTTTTCCATAGTTGTTGTACCAGTTTGCATTCACACCAGCAGTGTACTAGGGTCCCTTTTTCTCTACATCTTAGCCAGCTAATCAACTTGTTTATTTATTGATGGTAGCCATTCTGGCAGGTGT